TTTTTAAAAGCACTATATGGCTTTCTTTCAAACAACCGGCCTGACATTGAGTGACATTCCGTGAAGTAGCATGCGATAGTAAGTGAATTCGCATCACCTCTAACGACTTGAACTTTTACTCTGTTGGCGTCGTTGTCATGAGTCGTGAACATGATGTAAATAACGTAGCATTTTGAACAACTACGGCGTACTAGAAAACCTCTCTAATATACTGCTTTCGATGCCTCATCAAAACTTTGATTTAAAAACGGCACTATTTTCTGGAAAAAGAATAGCTAAGTTTGAGTTTTTGTGTCAAGTATAACATCAAACCGAAATCGAAATAGGCATGCAAAGCAGCTGACCAACAGTCTGAAGTTAACAATAACTATAATGGCTAGACATGTCAGTCCAGCTGCATCATGTGGAAAGAACATCTACAATTCTTTCATCGGACAACTTCAAATTAATGGAAAATGCTAGCTGTTATTCACGAATTTTATACGAATTTACTTGTATATCAGTCAGTATTACTCTGACACTGCAGATCGAGTACAACGAGATATATTTGTTGGCTTGAACTGGATTCAAACTCGCATCTTGAGGTTTTTAGGCCGCCCAAATATTTTCTATAGTTTCAGAACGATCCTCAGACATATGAAAACCTAGTTCCACCAGCACTATTCTGACACTGTTGTAGAGTACACCGAGAAACTCGACACTGCGCGCGTCCTCCAAGTCAAGCGTTAAATTAAGTTGTCGTAAAAATATTCCGTGCACTTACTTGGATACTGAAGACTCGCTACCAACCACCAATGGGTGGAGAGGCGGTCTAGAAAAGGCGGGTTTGAATCCCGCTCGAGACAACGAATTTTTCGTTGTACTCTGCAGTTTCAGAATAATATGAAACTAGTTATCAAAAAATATGCATGAGGATGGTTACGGATTTAGAATCATTAGTCTCAAGTTACTTGCAATAGCTAGAACTTACTAGTTTCCATGATGTGACATGGACATTTTATGGCGAGATCTTATGCTCATGCAGCAGGGCATCTTTTAAAGATTCGTCAATGGGGATAATCAAGGAAAGGGATTAAGAAGCGCTGAATTGGATAAGTGCGTGGCGCAAAGTTATAGGCCCTGAGACCGAATTTTTGTATTTTTGAGTCTCCGGGATTAACTTCCTGAATTTTCAGACACAACGTTTTGATCTATTTCATCGCTAGACAAATTTAAAGTTTGATAATTAATTTCCCTGCCAACACGATACGTTTAATCTGGTATACGAATCTTGTATCTGATCAGAAAAACATGTGTGAAATTAAAGTTTCGCCATAAACGATTGGGCGTCTTTGTGTGACTGGTTACTGGTTACTTGTATTACTTCATCCACATTGTACTTTCATTAAGGCAAATGTTCCGTGAACTACGGGGATTTTAGTGCGCCCTCTCCCCCTCCCATGTTGGCCCTCCCAGTAAGATATGTTGCCTCCCCAAGTGCAGGATTTTCTTATCTAAAACATACAACAAAGAAAATGCCAGAGGCAATAAGAGGAGTGCAGGTTTTAAATAACGTCCCCATGACAGTTTTTAAAACCATTGTCTAGCGCATTAAATATCAGAGAGAGTGTTTTTATGTCTAGTAGCGGATGGAAATATATAAAAAACCCTCCCCTACGCAGGCTTATAAATCAAGATGTGATCAGGCTGGAACTCGGCAAACTTGAAAGCATCCATAATGAGCTACGATTTTGTGTTGAGGCAACCGAAACATTTCGCCATGCACAAGTTAGCATAAACATAAACAAAAAAATGACCCTTAAATATCTCAGTAAACCTTTAATACAACTTAATCAATAATATGTAATTATGTTTAAGGTGGCCATTCCTGAGCTTCGCTAAGATGATGCTTTTAAGTTTGAAGCATTGACGAAGTAATTAATGCACCTATAATATGAAAAGGCGCAAAAATTACCGTATATATGTTATCGGTTTTGAATTTTCAAGGGCGTTGGCAATATTGAAGTGTATGTGCATGGGGGTTGCTGAGAATCCACTTCACTCAAAAGACATAATATTGAACGTTGTTTTCATCAAACTCCTCTTTTATGTTTAAGTTATGTTATATTGTCAAACATTTGAAATTGCTCAATTTTCTCGATATAATATAAACTAGCTTTCGCCGTGCATGAGCTTTCGCTGAACATAACTTCGGTCCCTTTGGACGTATCTTCTTCCGCCGCCTGAGCATTTTTAAGGAATTCCACTGACTACTTGGACAAATCGTAATAAGGGCCTTTTTCCCACATGCGTATCGGCAGTTTAGTGTACAGTACGACCATAAGATAAGACAGATTTCATTATATAGATTTCGATTAATTTTATTCAAAACCCCGTCAGTTCACATCATGAAAATCGTAGTGCTTCACTATTGGGGCAAACGTAGCTAGGTCATGCATTGTGTTAAAAATGCTTTGGCAGTATAAAAAACATTACTGATCCAACATACTATTCGCGGCGACTTGGATTATGACTGATCATGCACAATATAAAGCCTCGCCTGTATCGGTCATGCAACGAGGAGTTGGCAGTCATGCATTGTTACTGGAACGTACATTTCAAGCTCTAGATTAACCGAGCAATAAAGGTTTGATAAGCGTTCCAACTACGTTCTAATTTAAATAGAATGCATGCTAGTAATTCGGGAAAGCATTTATTTCCTTGGACCAGCTAACCAAGGTAGCGTTACTGCCATCAATCAATCATGCATGCAATTTCATCTTCGTTTTATTAGATCCGAGCTAAATAAGTGCTGTCTCGCAATTTTAGGGTATTTACGTCAAGTTTATTTAACATACATGGATTCATGGGACTTTTATTAATATGGGCTTTTCGGATTTTTTTGTCGTGTAGAGGGCTTTAGAGTGTTTTGCCCCTCGACTAAGAAATCAATATACTTCTGTGAGTATACTCTTCCCTGAAAAATTCCTAACTTTACCATATATGTTCTGTTTTCTGTAAATTTTCAAGGGTGTGGTCGTGGGTGTTGATTGAAAATATCGCTCGATTTCAAAATATTGTTGACTCATTCGAATCCTTTAATGGAAGTCTTATACTTATTAGTTCTCGTGTTTTTCAGTCCTTGAGAAGGATTATTGGCTGAACTCGGAAATGCTCGAGTATTACACTTTCTTGCAGTTCAACAGAAGTGCTATAACATTAGTCATTACTTATTTTAAATAGAACCCACCTATTTCCATTTATTATACAGAAACAGGGACGTACCGACCTGGCGCGCGATAGGAGGTGGGTCATGGGGTGTAACACCCCATTATTTCTTCATGAGTAATTCCAGAGGTGACTTGAGCTAACGATTTCCAGGTTAATTTAGTAGTTTTAGCGGGCATAAAAACCTATCAAAATGATCATGTTTTGTGATAGGCTTTCAGAAACAAATCAGAAACAAAAATGCTCATTGTTCGAGACTCGTTCTTTAGAAAGACGATTTCTATATATAGTTTTATTGTCTTTCATTGTTATAATCAACCAACCACGAGTCTGCATGGATAGTACTAGGTAGATGATGACCCGTTTTAGCAAATTTTTTGAAAGGCTAAAATTTTTCGAAACCCCAACATGTTCATCTTCCGAGCTTTCCAGGAGATATATGAGTCACAGTAGTTTTGGCATGAAAATACGTTTACTCAAACTTTGTAGCGATTTGAAAACAAAATATTGTTATACTGATTATAAGATTTAATAGTCTGAAGTAGGCAAAAATGAAACACTAAGCTTGTTCCTGAATTGCGACAGTTGCTAGAATTTTTGTAGTGTTCTGATTCAGTCGAAATCATCTGATTTCCAGTTGATTTCCTGATTTCCAACAGTAATTTCGGCGTAACGACGGCGTTAAGTGTACGAGATTTAATTTCTGCCGTAAAGGCGTACGGGAAAAGAGAAATAAGGGGGGGGGGAGGGGACAACAATTTGCCAGACGTTGATGCAAATTGCCAGACAAATACAAAATTTTTGTGTCATAAATTCCCCATAATTTGTGTTGACGGGGAGATGTGGGAGGGGGCGGGTCTCACCAATGGTTAAAATTTTGGCAACACCAGTTTGGGAACGTTAAATATTTTATATTTCTTCTTTTTTCGACAATTTTAATAACGCGTCGCGCTTCTCTTGCCAGAATGTTAATAATTGCCAGATTTTTTTAGTAGAATTTGTCCCTCACCTTGTACGCCTATGCCTCGCCCTCTTCTACCAGTCAAAATAATTTTTTTGTCTGAATATCTTTGGTCAGAAACGCACTATATGCTGTGTCATCTACAGTGAAACGTTTCTTTACGGCATTAAGACAACATAAAATAAATTGCTTATTCTGGAGGAGCTTCTCCGCCGGTCTGAGCTCCCACGAACTGATGAACGATGTGATTAAATGCAGCTCTGCCTACTCCAAGCAACTTCCTGCAGTGAAGCTTTCATTTCTTTGAGCAATTACTAATGAATATGTCATCACTCGTGACACTTATGGTTTCCGTATATTCATATTAATGCCCTGATTTGGAATGTTTACTCTCGTCTGAAAGACTGAAACCAAAACCTTCTCCGGGAAAAATAACTCATTCGTGCCAATTTGAAACACGTACACTAAACAAATATTCCGCATTGATCTGTGAAAAATATTTGACGGAAAAATAAGGCGGATTATGATACCATCCAATGAAACAATCAATTAAATAATTATGGCTGAAATAAATTTTGGCGTTATTATAAATAATAACAAAACGTACATCCTGTTTGCCATAGACAAACTAATATCGCAACAAATATAAATGGGAAATAACTATTTTCGCGTGACATTCATTTGTTTGCGGTTTTTCCTTCCTGTGCATGTTTTGTGATGTTTGCCAAAATATTGAAACTATTAAAATTTAAAATATGTATATATATTGGCGACAGTTTGTTTAAGACCCAATTGAAAATGACTGGCTAAAGTGCGCAATGGCGAAACTTCCTTTCATTCTGAAAATTCTTTTCACACCAAGAGCGCCTTTGAAAGTTGACACCAGTGTTAAGTTGAGCATCTCGCGACTCAGAGGTGAGCGATGATTAACACAACTCTGTGCGCACCTAATATATCCGCCAGCTCACACCGCACTATATTTATAAGAGCACCTACATCAGCGGAGGATCAGGTTCAAATTATAGGCGCAACAGACGCCATTTTAAAACGGCTTCGGCTGATTATCTAGCGTGAAAGGATATATTGACGAATTGAAGTCATGCTGAAATCACAAGGAGAAACCCTATCGTTAATCACAATCCTTGTTGTGGAACTACTGATAAGAACCGAGGTAAGCGAGATGATATAAATGCGAGAGCGTATTCGCCGTCATAACAGCGCGAACACTTGACGCACACATTTCACAACTGCACGTCTGGGCAGAACATTTCCCAAAGCTAAACACTATGGTTAACACAGTTCATTCAGAATTACATCACCACATCAATGTACTTTAACATCAAACTGTAAATCTTAAAGATAAACTTGAACGTTTACTGAACAACTTCGATAATTCAATTACGGAATCTTTCAGTCGAAATCACGTCAGCGTTTTTAATCTGTTCAGTTCGAAGCGTCGAATATGCGTCAACGAGGCTTCGTTCCTATATGCAATTCTTTAGACATGTTTGAGTTATATAACTAGTAGGATTTGGTGTAGTTAAGTTGGTATTATAAAGATATATGTAATCTTCAACGCAAGGCTACATAAGGATTCTATCATTCACAGCTAACAGCGTTTAATATAGAATGTATTAGGCTAAGCTAAGCACCCTTGCTCAATTCATCTTTACATACAAACTATACGAACATTCAAACCATACAGCCTACTTATGTTATGTTATGTGTTTCATTATTTTGATATTTTAACATTTTCCACTGTCGTAATATTGAACTGCTCCTATTGAAACGCAATACCAGTCTGCAGTGGGAAGCCCCCCTGATGGTATGAGATAAACTAATAAACATGCACGAGAAAATTGGTGATTTTTTTAATTACAGTTGTTTGAACCAGCGTTGACGTTATTTAACTGTTTTATAGACATTGATATGCGAGTGATTTACAAATGTTTCGTAACTTAATATGTGAATGTAATGTTTTTACTTCAAGTTCATTTTCAGTATATACAGTAGTTACATTTCAATTGCTGAATTGAGAATCTTGTACATTACAGGCTTTAGACTGTTTTGAATGGCGCCAATTCTCGCGGACATGAAAGATGTTTCTTCTTAGACTTTAATATATAGAATTAAGTAATAACTGAGAGAAAAGGAATATGTAATCTATGTAGATAATCTCCGTAACATGCTAACAGCATTGGTTTAATTAAACTATAATGTTTCCGGGAATGTTTAGCAAGTCATTATGCAAGTGAACGTTATCACTAGGAAAGTGGGCCAGCATATTGCCGTAATTTTACGGACAGCTTCAAACGATAATACTGAAAAAACGCCGAAAAATTTGTCCTGATTGTTTTCTTTTTTTAATACACGTTTTCTGACTTTGGTTTGCAATCATGACTGTAACAAACTGACTATATGCATGAACCTGCATGTGTATATATATAATTCTAAAGCACAAAGGAAGATTAATGTTCTTTCCCCTTTCCCCTTTTACCGACTTTCTTGTAAACGTTGGCTAACAGAATTATTGGAAATAAACTTGGTCAGAAATTTCTACTTTCCTAGCCCTTAATAATTTACATATCAGGTGAAAATGTGACTTCCATAATAAAGATCATTTGCAACTTGCCGCAGTCCGCGCTGGATGTTTTAAGTTCCCATCCATCCTGCTTTTCTATATTTGTACAGGAGTTAGGTTATAGCAATTTGGCTATATAACTCAATATAAAATACCACAGTTGGAATAAACTAGAGTACAGGATGGATAATAGTGACCTAAAGCAGGTCAACATTACACTAATTACTTCGGGAAACTTTGTTTTGCTTCCAGCGAGTAGGCAAGTTGTAAACGACCTACTTTGCGATTTACAACATCGCGTAATACAATTTACTGTACTTGTTATAGTTGAAACCATATTTCCACGTGATATGAAATTAGTAAGGAAGTAGAATATTCAAATATATTATATCTGTAATATGTGGCCATGCAACAAGCATATATTTAGCTACATGCATCCTATCAGTTTGATCATATTTTCTATGGACTATGGTTTAATGTGACACAAATACATGCAAAAACGGTGTCTCGAATCTGCTCATATCCATTCTGTTTAGTACACCCGAGAAAAGCATGAGCATTCAAAGGTAGAAGAAAATACTCTTTCATCTTCAGTATTTTTGCACAAAACTAACGAGGCTGATTAGTAATTACTTAAAGCACATATTTCAGAAATACTAGGGCATTATGACATCCAGCTCTTTTGAAAACAGAGAAAGGGATTGAGAATTACGGAATGAAAAAGGAACAAAGAAAATGGAAAAGGAATTTTAAACGTTTTGCAAGACTGATAGAATGAGAAAGAGACAGTTTCTGTGCATATATATGTTCATGTTTGTTCGTATTCGTGTGCTTAATTTATCGTGTGAGCCCTTATTCATGCGTCTCATGCCTTCCCACGCAAAAGATATGTCTTGAATTTAGTCGGATATTCTTCTAAGACCAATATCGGACTATGCTAATTAGACCGAATATTTTCAAAATTTCCAAATTTGATAAAAAGCTGATTTAAAACTTAGAAAAGATGCACTTAAAATCTTTGATGTAAACTGACGTGATCCCCTCGAAGCAGGAATTATTTCGTAAAACAGGAAGGGCAGGCCGGGAAACGCCATGTTTGCATGCCAGCAAGGTTGTTTACGTTGCAGATATAGCCCTTGTTTGGTTCGACAAAAATGGCGATATGTCATACTTATCTTTGAAGCATATTTCTCTTCGAAGCATGATATTTCTCATAGCGCTGCACTATAGCGTCATTTGAGAGCAATTTTATTTTCGACTTTTTATTTTCGATATTGACTATTGTGTAATCTAAGAATCCTGAGTATACGGAGGAACATTTGCCTTAGCCAACTAAGGAACAAGAATAACATATAGCTTACTCACACAATAATTCATGCAGTCATATTTTATTGGTATTAGGGAGTTTAGGTTTCGCGTTCAAACGTCAAATGGCAAACGCCAGGGGAAGAAAAAAATTACGCCACAAAGTAATAAATGGGAAATCAACTTACTATTTTAAGACTGTAATGTATGATGATTCTTTTGAGATTAAGAACGAGAAGATGAAGCGAAGAAGTTAAGCAAAAATTCTGGCAACAACATTGGACGATGCCGTTTGCCGTTCCCGCAAACGTCCTCAATTAACTCACTAATAATTCATCAGCAAAACAGAAAACCGCTTCGTTTTCAACACACTTTGCTGTATTTTATATTCCGCGGCAATAAACGCTTTCTCGTTTATTATATTTACGTCATTGTTTTTTATGGACTTTTGAAGAAAATTCAGAAAAGACATATTCAGAATGTGAGGAACAGTTTTCATGTCAATACATGCAGATTACAAAATCACAGATACTGAATACCCGGTATAGAACCATTGCCACGTCATCATCGCGTGCAACTAATGCTTTTTATTTAGTAGAAGAATTGAGGAAACAAATCGTTTTTAAAGGTTAAACTAGTATGAATGTTGTAAATATGCTCGCGATTTGCTCACTGTATATATAATACTAAATCTGACCAATGTGTACGGCTAGTTCTTTAAATGTTTTTATATATATATATATATATATATATATATATATATATATGTATATATATATATATATATATATATATATATATATATATATATATATATATATATATATATATATATATATATATATATATATATATATATATATATATATATATATATATATATATATATATATGTATATATAAACTAAAGGTATTAAACACTTCAGTACCAGTTTGTATCAACTCTTCACTTTACACCCATTTCATACAGAATCCAGAGTTCTAGTTTCGGCGTGGTTTTGACAAAAAAGCGGCCAAACGAAGATTAATAAGCTCGGCCCTTACCAAAATAGTTACGTTTACTGTATCTGCTCTTAAATATAGGAAGAATTAAGGCTGGAAACCTTTTCTTTCAATGTGAAACGAACACTCTGGCCGCCTTCCTTATGAAAAAGAAATTATTTAAATAAATGATATAGCTACTTTTGCAGCGGATTTGCAGCGGTGTTATAGCTATTTTTTCAGTGATGGAACAAAAAAAACCAAAACACCTGCGAGAAGTTGCATTCTTATACAGAATAACAATTATTGAGTATAGCCTATAGGTGGAGTACATGCACACTTAGAGATACATAAATTAAATTTTTCCATACGGTATGATTCGTGAAAGTAAAAGAGATCTTATATGCACAATTATATACAATTACGATTTGAGATAAAGACAGCTCGAACACAATATAAATTAAAGTGTTTTTGTGGCAACCATGCATGCATATCCCCTTAATTACAGGCATAACTTGTATATATATACGTGCCGAACATAATAAGTACATATATTCAATAAAGTATTTTGGTAAAGGTGGGACTTGAAGCATAGTATTATGATGTAGCTATTATATATAATAACTCTAGAAAGCCTGAACATGAATATGCACATGCACTAGTCTATATATAGACATAAAAATGAAGGTAGGAAAAATTGAGTCTAGACCCAAGCGTCGTTTTTCAGTTGGTATCATATGATATGACATATTTGATACATGCACAGCCGCCACATGCAGGCTTTAGTGGATCAAAAATGGTAAACATTTGCAACATGTACTCCTTTTTGTCCAAAAAACAAATTCGGCAATTCGTATAGGGCCTATAGGCTACCTGTCTTAGTATACTTAGTATATATTATAAGAGAACTAAGTGTCTGTATATCTACTTTTAAATGATGTCACAGGTAAAATTGAACTGGCTTCCAAATGCTCCTGATCGAATTGTTCACTGAACAAGCGACTTGATCAAGTTGCAAAAATATATCAACAGTGAATGAGCCGCAAAGTGGCTTAAATTAAGAACGATAATGACTTATATATCTTGGCCGATTGACATCAAATGGATGTTATTATACTTCATAAACAATTACGCACGCCATTGTTTTATTTTCTGATAAACCTATAAATCTGTTCGCCTGAGGTCTTGTTTGCGGAAACAGGAAATTGAATAAGCTTTAATGTATGAACATAACACAGCACATCATAGCCCAAGATTTACCGTAGGCGTGGCAGAACATGGACACATCACTGACTTTTTACCCATTGCCATGCCAGGACCTCTTTTAACATATATACTGGGGAGGGGGGAGGAGGGCAAGCTCTCCAGCCACCATGTCTGCCCCTCTATAACAAACTATGCCTCGTCCGCCCCCGTGGGGTCTCCTATAAGCAAAAAAGGAAGAATAGCATAGATAAGAAAG